TTGTGGCCGGCAACGTGACCATCGAGAGGGGGGGGAAGGGAGGCACCATGGCCTGCGCCGACCCGGCCGATACCGGCGCACCATTAATGGTGTGGGCGGCGCCGGCACGCTCCAGATCGCGAAGGACTGTCTCGCAACACGTGGCCGGGCACAGAAAATGGCGCCAAAAAAAAATAAAGAAAACTGTTATTATGGGTGTCGGCAGCAAATGGAACGCGAATGGAATGTGTGGGCGGAGGAGCCGGGGAGTGGAATGTGGAGGGAAAACGGGCGAATGGCTGGCTACACCCGCGTGGGTGCACTCACCAGACCCGCGCGCGCGAGGGGTAGGGGCACACTTGGCGCTGCACTTGGCCAGCCACAAGAGAGAGCTCTAACACAACCGGTTATGGCGGCGGCGGCGATGGGTGGCGGAGGCGGCGGTTATGGATGGAGGCGGCGGCGATGGGTGGCGGTGGCGGCGGTTATGGGTGGAGGCGGTGGCGGCGGTTATGGGTGGTGGCGGCGGTTATGGATGGAGGCGGTGGCGGCGGCGATGGGTGGCGGTGGCGGCGGTTATGGGTGGTGGCGGCGGCGGTTATGGGTGGTGGCGGCGGTTATGGATGGCGGCGGTGGCGGCGGCGATGGGTGGCGGTGGCGGCGGTTATGGGTGGAGGCGGTGGCGGCGGTTATGGGTGGTGGTGGCGGCGGTGATGGGTGGCGGTGGCGGTTATGGGTGGAGGCGGTGGCGGCGGTTATGGGTGGTGGTGGCGGCGGTGATGGGTGGCGGCGGCGGCGGTTATGGGTGGCGGCGGCGGTGATGGGTGGCGGCGGCGGCGGTGATGGGTGGCGGCGGCGGTTATGGATGGCGGCGGCGGTGGCGGCGGTTATGGGTGGAGGCGGCGGTGGGTGGCGGTTATGGGTGGCACGCGCACAGGAAGGCGTGGGCGTGCTCGGTGTGCTGGGCGTCGACCCGGAAGAGGTGGTCGCGGTAGGGGACCGGACCCAGGCACCCACCTCCTCCTCTGTCGTGCGTGTGGTGTGGCGTGGTGTGGTGTGTCGTGCGTGTGTGTGTCATGCAACACTCTTTTTCGTACCCTTGTGTCGTGTGGTGGTGTACACCGCACAGCAGCCTGGGGAGCGCGGTGACGAAGAGGAAGAGGAGCTGGGCCAGCCATGTCTCTCAAGCATGCCTGTACGTTGGCGCTTCTCTTCTCTTTCTCTCTGATTTTCTTTTCTTACTTGCACACGCTCAACACTCTGCTGGAAAAGCCGCCAGAGGACGCGTCACCAACGCACGCACACACAACTCACGCTCTGCCACGACGCTGACTTCATGGACGTGTGTGATATTAGAGTCTCCACTTGATACATCGTCGTTGCGCCAAAGGAAGACCGGGTGGTACCACCAGGCGCTGAAGCTGGGGAGAAGAGGTGCAGGCGGTACATGCTCCAGTAGTGCTTCGCCAACGGGCAGGAGGAGGAGGGCTTCTTCCCCCCACTCGCACATGCACATGCACACACGCACACACGAGAAAGGCTCACTCTTTTGGTGCCTCCTCGCAGAAAAGCAGCAGTTCCACTTCCGGCTGCTCGAGCGGAAGCGGGCACAGGAGCACCAGAGGACCGAAGTCAACGCCGTCCTCTTCAGGAACGGCAAGTTCGGGTACGTCCGTCGGGAGAGATCCTGTGTCGCATGCGATGATCGCGCAGCTCATCACCGCACTTCTCTCTTTTCACCATGATGACTAGTCGTCCACAAGCCACGAAGGGAAGAAGGCCAAGAAGAAGCGGACGCTGGTGCCCGAGGTCCTCGGATGGCGGCCCTCACGCGCGAGCGATGTGGCCGGCCGCTGCGTCGCTCCTCCGACGCACCTGCTTTTTTCGTTCTTTCTTTTTTTATTTTTATTATCTCCTTCTTTTCTCTTTCCTTCTTTTCTCTTTTATTTCCTTTTTCTCTTTGTGTTCCCTTCTTTTCTCTTTTTATTTCTGGTGGGTTTGCGACAGGCCTGAGTACCTTTAGGATCTTGGCCTTGTTCGTTCGCTTCTTCTGGAAGAGAAGAAGAAGAAGAAGGGAGCGAACTGAACGTTGAGAGATAGTAGGGGGCTCTCAGACCAGGCCGAGGCGGCCCGTTCGGTACACCGCCGCCCCTGGTCTGAGAGACGTGTGGCGTACGGGCCAGCAGTGCCAACGGGTGCGTGTTCCCAAGGGGAAGCAGTTCTATAAATAATTTATAAATAAACAGCGGAAATAAACAAAGGAAAAATAAGGAGGCATACCACCAAAAAAAGAATGGAGTTGGAGACGACAGGGGGCGATCGCAGTTCCGAGGTGTGGGAGAAGGCGGGCATACCTGACGACTTGCGCCCTCTCAATCCAGAGCTCATCAGCCAGGGCGCTGAGGCTGTACGCCCTCTCCAACTGCAAATCGATTTCATCTTTTTTATTCTGTTAATTTATTCATCTTGCGCGATCTGGTGCCGTGCAGCGAGTGTACCAGGCCACCTTCCTGGGGCGGCCAACGATCGTCAAGGAGCGGTTCACCAAAGCCTACCGCCTGCCTGAGCTCGACGTCAAGCTCAACCAGTCCCGCATCACGCAGGTGCGCCCACCGACGACAACGCGTGTGCGTGTGCGGTGGTGCGGCAACTGAACGTGTGTGCGTGTGCGGTGGTGCGTGTGCGGTGGAGCAGGAGGCGCGATGCCTGGTAAAGGGACGGGCGGCCGGGGTGTGCACGCCAGCGGTCTTTTTCGTGGACCACCCGACCAAGCGGCTCTACATCGAGCACATCGAGGGCCAGGCCGTCAAGCACTTCCTCTTCGCCCGCGGCACCCAAAGCCCCGGTACTTACTTACTTCACTCTCGCACGTGCGCACACGACACACGGCACACGGCACACGACACGACACACTACACAGAGCCTCGCTCGCGCGAACAGAAGCTGATGTTGTGTGCACTTAAACAAACAGAGGCGCTGGAGCTCGGAGCGCAGATCGGGCAGGCGCTGGGCCGCCTCCACAATGCGGGGGTCATCCACGGCGATCTCACCACCTCCAACATGATGATCAAGGAGGACGGTTCCCTCGTACGACCACACGACCAACGACACATTGACATGGGCTGCTTTTTATTCATGTGTGTTGTGTCGTATGTGTGCGTGTCGTGCGGTTCCATGGTGGTATGTACATGCAGGTAATGATAGACTTTGGGCTGAGCTACATCACCCGTAACCACGTGGAGGACGCTGCGGTCGACCTCTACGTGCTCGAGCGCGCCTTCACCTCGACCCACCCCTCCTCTCAGGAGCTGGTACGCATCCAAGACCCACGAACTCGCCACGGGCGATTCGTTTTCCAGCGTCTGCACACACACTTCCACCGCGCACCACACACGGACACGACGCACGCACCTGACGCGGTGCCAATAATCAATCATAGTTCGCGTGCATCATCGAGGAGTACCGCAAGAGCGCCAACAAGTCCAAGACCGTGCTCCCACGACTTGAAGAAGGTGCGGATACCCTGTTTGCTAACCGAGCTATCGCCATCACCACATTTGTCCCCCGCTGGCACACTCGCTTCTCTCTCTTTTTCTCACGCTCACCACCATCACCACCATCATCGACCACGCAGTGCGATTGCGCGGCCGCAAGAAGATCGCCTTCGGCTAAGACGTCACACACCCCAACGCCTCTTGGTGCAGCAAGTCCCCCTACCAACGGTAATAAATAGCTGGGGCTGTATTGGCCGCTCCGAGCGAGGAATGTGGGCGAACAAGTGGTGGTGATGATGATGGTGGGAGAGAGGGGCGTAGGAGAGCGACTTCAGAAGTGTACGGTGCTGCGGATGGCCTCGAGGTTCTTGAGCTTGTCGGGCACATAGAACTTCTCGAAGACGAGCGGGAACGGCGTGTCGTAGCCGCAGATGCGGCGGATGGGCGACTCGAGGTGCAGGAAGCACCGCTCCTGGATCGTCGAACAGATCTCGCCGGCGAAGCCGCCGGTCTTGGGCGCCTCGTGCGACACCACCAGCCGGCCCGTCTTCTTCACCGACGCCTCCACCTGCACACGCCTCACGATCGTGAGTCGACAACACAAACAACGAAAGCGAAAACGAAACGCAGGGGGGGGGCAATTACAGTGTCGACGTCCCAGGGGGCGAGGGTGCGGAGATCGATGAGCTCGCACGAGATGCCCTCCTTCTCGGCCAGGCCGCAGGCGTCGGTGAGCACGTGCAGCTGCGAGCCCCAGCCGACCACGGTCACGTCGGAGCCCTCCTTCACGATGCGGGCCTTGCCCAGGGGCAGCTCGTAGTCGCCGAGCGGGACGTCCTCCACGGCCGACCGGTACAGGATCTTGGGCTCGAGGAAGATGACCGGGTTGGGGTCGCGGATGCTGCTCAGCAGCAGACCCTTGGCCTCCTTGGGCGTGCTGGGCATCACCACCTGCGTGTGCGACACGCACACAACACACGACACACAAGACACGCACGACACACGAACGCGTTGGTGGGTGGTGTGTCATTTGACGTTGGAATGTGAGGAAGTTGGGCACCTTGAGGCCGGGCGTGTGGCAGAAGTAGGCCTCGGGCGACTGGGAGTGGTAGTGGCCGCCATGACCGACGGCACCGCACGGCGTGCGGACGGTGAGACCCGCCACGTCGAACTGGCCGCCCGATCGGTACCGGTATTTGGCCGCCTCGTTCACCAGCTGCACACACACGCACACACCGCACACCTCTGTTATTAAATTGTCACCGCACGCACACACGACACGACACACACCGCACGACACGCGCGACCGCACACCGCACGTGCCTGATCAAAGGCGGGGAAAATGTAGTCCGCGAACTGCATCTCGGCGATGGGGGTGGCGCCGACGGCGGCCATGCCGATGGCGAAGCCGGCGATGCCCTGCTCGCTGAGGGGCGTGTTGAAGACGCGGCTGTTGCCGTACTTCTCGCGCAGGTTGATGGTGCACCGGAACACGCCGCCAAAGGCCACGTCCTCGCCGAAGATGACGGCCTTGGGGTCGGCGCCGAGGGCGATGTCCAGCGCGTTGTTGACGGCTGTGAAGAAGTTCATGCGCGCCACCTCGCCTTCGCCCTGCGGCTGCTGCTGATGGGTTGATGATGACCCACCATGCGCGGTCGCGGCAGCGTGGGCCGGGGAGACGTGGAACGCACGCGCCTTTGAAGACGGACAATTGCCAGAGTGATTAAAAGTAGAGTAGAGTAAAGTAATCAGAGAAATTGATTGAACGACGTAGCGGGAAAATGCGACAACATATCAAACATAAAAGAAGAAATTGGGACAAATGCGAACAAGCGAGATCTTGCTTGAATGGAAGCAATACGGGGGGGGGGGCGTACGGATGGCTGAAGGAGCGAACGGGCCGGGGAGGCTCCGGACACAGAGCCACCAACCAGTCGGTGTGCCGTAGCAGAACTGCCAATGCTCGCGCTAATTCGCTTCTTCATCGTGTGCTGTACGGCGGGGACAGTGCGGGATAACCCGGGATCGCCGAGAATGGGCGGAATATTTCAAATGTCTTTGCATGCCTTGCGCGCCCGAGTGTAGAATTCTCTCTTATCGCCGCATGCCTAGCGTGTCCGGGTGTAGAATTCTTTTTCCGCACCGCATGCCTTGCGCGCCCGAGTGTAGAATTCTTTCTTATCGCCGCATGCCTAGCGTGCCCGAGTGTAGAATTCTTTCTTTTCGCCGCATGCCTTGCGCGCCCGAGTGTAGAATTCTTTCTTCACTCCAGCATGCCTTGCGTGCCCGAGCGTAGAATTCTGTTTCACTCCAGCATGCCTTGCGTGCCCGAGCGTAGAATTCTTCGCTTTTTTTCGTCCGGCAAAACGGCCAAACACCGCTCGATCTCCATCTCAATTCTTGTCTGCTTGTTGAGGAGAGATCATCATGGCGCTCGCTTTCGACGAATTTGGCCGTCCCTTCATCATCCTGCGGGATCAGGGGGAGCAGGAGAGGATCACCGGTCTTGCGGCCCTCAAGGTGCGTTAAATGTTTGTCGCATTATTGCTCTTCTTTACCTTGCCTCCTATTACTTCGCATCCATTAATTTTCGACGTTTTTGGTCGATTGCAGTCACACGTCGTGGCCGCCAAGGCAGTGGCCAATGCCATGAAGACATCCCTCGGTCCTAAGGGCATGGACAAGATGCTTGTCAGCCCCGATGGTGATGTAACGGTGACCAATGATGGTGCCACGATTCTGGACAACATGGTGCGCTTTTGCTCAATTTTCGCTACATTTCGTTCCTCCATATGATGAAGGCTGAATTCTTTTCATTGCCAAGGACGTGGAGAACCAAGTCGCGAAGCTGCTCGTCCAGCTCTCGAAGTCGCAGGACGAAGAGATTGGCGACGGCACTACCGGCGTCGTGGTGTTGGCTGGTGCTCTGCTCGAGCACGCTGAGTCTCTGCTCGATCGCGGCATTCACCCCATCCGTATCGCCGATGGTTACGAGATGGCTGCCAGCATCGCTGTCGATCACTTGAAGGCCATTTCCGACGTGATCGAGTGGGGTCCTGACAACATTGAGCCTCTCATCAACACCGCCATGACCTGCCTTGGCTCCAAGATGTACGCCTCTCCCTTCTCCAATTTTTCGCCTGTGTCGATTCTTCGGATTGCGATCGATGATCGTCATTCTTGGCACTTCCTCTTTTTCGTGCCTCTCTATGGCTAACTTCAAACGACTGCAGTGTGAGCCGGTGCCACAGGCAGATGGCTGAGATTGCCGTCAAGGCCATCCTCGCTGTTGCCGATCTCGAGAGGAAGGACGTCAATCTCGACCTCATCAAGATTGAGACCAAGGTGGGCGGCAGGCTCGAAGACACGCAGCTCATCAACGGTATCGTCCTCGACAAGGAGTTCGCACACCCTCAGACGCCCAAGGAGCTGAAGGACGTCAAGATGGCCATCCTCACCTGCCCGTTCGAACCCCCGAAGCCCAAGACCAAGCACAAGGTTGACGTCAAGTCCGTGGAGGACTACAACAAGCTCGCCGAGCAGGAGCAGGCGTACTTCCGCGACATGGTCAAGAAGATCAAGGACTCTGGCGCTACCCTCGCCATCTGCCAGTGGGGCTTCGACGACGAGGCCAACCACCTTCTCCTCCAAAACGAACTCCCCGCTGTCCGTTGGGTCGGTGGTGTCGAGCTCGAGGTGCGTTTTAACTCCCTCTTCGGGCTGCTGTACGCAGGGATCCCAGCGGCCACTGACATTCGGGTTTCTGCTGCGCAGTTGATCGCCATCGCCACCGGTGGCCGCATCATTCCCCGGTTCTCGGAGATCACACCGGAGAAGCTCGGTAAGGCGGGCGTGGTGCGTGAGATTAGCTTCGGCACGACCAAGGACAGGATGCTTGTCATCGAGGAGTGCTCCAACTCGCGCGCTGTTACCATTTTTATTCGTGGCAGCAACAAGATGGTAAGCCCCCCCCCCTCCCCCACCACGCATCTCTCGTCCGTTCGTATCGCTGTTTGTTAGCTCTCGCCCTCGTCTCCGTTGCATCTCACGAGTGTCATCACAACACGTGTTGTGCAGATTTTGGAGGAGGCCAAGAGGAGTCTTCACGACGCCCTGTGCGTCACGCGAAACCTCATCCGGGACAACAGAGTGGTGTACGGTGGTGGCTCGCCAGAGATCGCTTGCTCGCTCGCCGTGTCGGAGGCCGCCGACAAGGTGGCGTCCCTCGAACAGTACGCCATGAGGGCCTTTGCCGACGCCCTCGAGGCCACGCCCCTCGCCCTCGCCGAGAACAGCGGCTACCAGGCTCAGGAGACCCTCGCCACTGTCAAGGCCAAGCAGGTCACCGAGAAGAACCACCGCCTCGGCATCGACGCCGCCAACAAGGGCACTTGGGGTACATCACCACACCACCCTTTCTGCTGTTTACCTCCACGTCGTCATGAAACGGAGAGCTGACCTTGAACCAAAAACTCTTCTTTCTGGATTTTCTACAGACATGAAGGAGCAGAACGTGCACGACCCGCTGATCTCGAAGCAGCAGCAGTTCCTCTTGGCCACGCAGGTCGTGAAGATGATCCTCAAGATCGACGACGTCATCAAGAAGGGCGGCCAGGAGTGAGTGGACCTCTGCTGGGCGCCGGAGGAGAGGAGACCTCCGAACCAAGAAGAAATGCGAAGAAAATGCTCGAATTGTTTAAATGCCTCAAACACAATGAAATTTCATTTCTCCGCAAATGACCCTCCCTTCCCGCTTTTTGTGCGGTCTCGCGCTTTGATTTCCTTCTTTTCTTCCTTCTCCTCCCGCATCGTCATCCCCTGACCAACGATGGAAGCCGCCCAGGTACTTCCGCCCTGCCTCTCGCTGTGTGGCCTCGTGATTCGTGGGGTCGGTGGTTGGTGGTGCTAAGACATGAGAGGGCTTAACAAGATCACCGTGATCGTAGCCATCCATCTGCCCATTTCTCACCGCATTGCGCCCCATTTCTACATGCACAGACCGAAAGAGCTTTCCAGAAGCAGCCTACCGTCTACGTCGGTAAGGCCCGCGTGCTCGGCACCAAGGCCGGCAAGGGCAAGGGTGTCCGTTTCACCAAGAACATCGGTCTTGGCTTCAAGACCCCCAAGGAGGCCATCGAGGGCAAGTACATCGACAAGAAGTGCCCCTTCACCGGTAACGTCAGCATCCGTGGTCGTATCCTCAGGGGCGTCGTCGTCTCCACGAAGATGAAGAGGACCATCATCGTGCGTCGTGACTACCTCCACTACGTGCCCAAGTACAACCGTTTCGAGAAGAGGCACAAGAACATCCCCGCCCACTGCTCGCCCGCCTTCACTCTTAAGGAGGGTGACGTCGTCACTGTCGGCCAGTGCAGGTACCGTGCTGCTCAATATCTTTAGCTGGTTTTGCAATCATATGTCTCACCAATTCGCGTTTGTGCCTCCAGGCCTCTTTCCAAGACCATCCGTTTCAACGTGATCGCCCACCAGCCCCAGAACATCCAGGGTCTCCAGAAGAAGAAGACCTTCCGTATCTTCTAAATTGGTGATGACAGTTCTCTCTTGACGCGGCAAAACCTCGGCGAAGGGCATGCACAAATAAAAATAAACTACAAAAAACATCATACCCCCCCATCCACCATCAACATTTCTAAGCCATTCAAGACAAAGGAGCACCTGCAAAAGACGATCATCAATCATTTTTTTGGCCGAGGCCTTATGTGGAATTGGGAGAGCTCTACCCACAACGTGACAAAAGTGCACCGACAACAGGTGAATACTTCGCATTTCGGGGAGTTTATCGGCCAAAACGAGAGAAGCTCGGCCTGTAGAAGCGGAGTGGGCGCATACGACAACAAACTCGTGTCTGCTCTCTTGGAGACCAGTACTACTGCTGTGTGCAAGGTCGGCACTTCTGGGGGCTGGAGGCAATAGACCAGAGGACAGAGGAACGCGGTGTGCAGGCCAGTTCTTCTTTCTCTCTTTCCTTCTTTCCAGCAACACGCAACCACGGCAACACAGGATTTGATCCTCCCATCGAGTTTCAGTCTCTGCTCCCGCGAACTGAACCTGGCGAGATTGAATCTCTGTCCTCTTAGGCCTTCTGCCAGACGACCTTTTTTTCGAATCCAAATCTGATTTGAAAGATGGGAGGCGCCTCATCATCTCCATCTGATGGCGAGGACTACGAGCGCGAGGCCACCTGCTGCGGCTTCTCCATGCACACACAGGTGCCTACCGACACCCCCTTCTGCAGTCCTGCACACCAATATCACTTATTTTATTTATATTTTTATTCTATTTGGCCAACAAATGATATTTTACCCTTTATTATAATTATTTATAAAAGTGATTATAAATTCAGGGAGGGTCGGTCGAGTACCTGGGCGGCCGGCCGCAGACTGGAGTCGGCCGGGGCCGCGGAAGGCCCCTGGGCGCCGCACCCGGCGACGCCGGCCGCGGGCGCGGACGAGGCCGAGGTCGAGGTCGCGGCGGCCAGCACCCCGACGAACGCCAGCCGCTGCTCGGCGTGCCTCCCACCACCGCCGCAGCCGCAGCCGCAGCCGCTGCCCGCGGCGGCCCGTCTCGCTCCCTCTCCGCCACTCCACTCCACTCTCCGCGCGGCCACCCACACCAACCGCCGCAACAACAACATGACCAACAACATGACCAACACCATCACCATCAACATCAACACGCGATGGCGCATTCCATGACGCTGCCGATGCGTGCCAGCTACGGCGCCGTGGTGGGGAATGATGAGCATTCCGCGCAGCCTCAGCATCACTGGTACGACGACATTCCGACCGAGGAGCTGGTGCTCGACGCGGAGGAGTGGGCGCTACTGGGCCGACAGCAGCCGCAGCAGCAGCAGCAGCACCACCAGCAGCAGGCGCGGCATCAGAGGAAGAAGAGCGTGCCGTTGGCCATGTCCATGTCGCGCGAGCTCCCGGTGTCGCCGCGCCAGAGATCGCCCCGATCGCGGTCGCCCCGCGGCTCTCGCCCCAGCTCACCCGCTCCTCAGCACCAGCACCAGCAGCCGCCGCCTCAGCCTCACCACGACCGACCGCACGACTTTCGCCCCGTGGGCGAACTCTTTCACCACCCGCAGCCGCACTCGCACCAGCCGCACCCACACCAGTCGCACCCACACCAGCTGCATGAGCAGCAGCGCTACGGGCAGCCGCATGGGCACCACCCGCCGCCGCCGCCGCAGCAGCAGCACTACTACGACGGGCCGCCCGCGATCCGGGGTCGCGTGGTGTCGGACGAGGTCCCGGCGACGGAGGAGATGGAGGACTCGACGGAACCCGAGGAGGAGGCCGACCCCCGGCACAGCGCGGCCGAGAGCGAGGACTCGAGCAGCGACGCCGGCGGCGCGGGCCGGCATGTGGTCGACGATGTCGGCAGTGATCGCGAGCGCCACCGTGTTGTTGTCGACAACAAGATGAAGGAGGCGGTGGTCGAGGAGCAGGAGGAGCAGGAGGCCGACGACAAGCTGGTCACGCTCGACGAAGTCGCGGCCGCCAGCGACGAACTGACCCACAAGACGAAGAATGCCGAGAATGCGGAGAAGGTGGCGCCCTGGGACGGGAAAAAGGCCTCGGCGGACGACAAGGAGGAAGCGATGAAGCGGCTGGCCTGGGAACAGGGCCAAAAGACGTCGCAGGACGATCGGCGCAACGAGGTGGTCCACGTCTACCACGTCACCGACGCGATCATCGGGGTCGACGCCAACGAAGAAGCAGAACAGCCGCCGCCGCCGCCGCAGCATCAGCGCGAGAAAGAGGAGAAGAAGGAAGTGGAGAGGGTGCGTATGGCGGCGGAAGAGGAGCGGCGCCACCGGACCGATGAGCGCGCGTCCAAGCGGAGCGAAGACGAACGCAGCAGCGAATTCCCGGCCGTTCCACAGCAACACCACCACCAGCATTCCTCCGGGTATCTCACATTCCTTGCGTGTACCCAAGAGTTCTTTTTTGCTGACGTGTGCGCACTTGTCGACAACAGTGAACCGGAGAGCCACGACCATGGCCGTCCCCGCGGTCACGGCCACGGCCATGGCCACCACGGCCACGGCCACGGCGACGGCCATCGGGCCGAGGCTCATGGGAAGGAGAGCGAGGAGGAGGAGAGGCGGCGTCAACAGCGCGAGGAGGGGGAGGAGCGGGAGAAGCAGCGGCAGCGGGAGCGCGAGGCGAGGGAGCAGCGGAAGCGGGAGAGGGCCGAGCGCGAGGCGAGGGAGCAGCAGGAGCGCGAAGAGCGCGAACGCAGGGAATTGGAGGAACGCGAGCGACAGCTCGCACTCGAGCGGGAGCGGAGGGAGAGGGAGGAGCGTGAGCGGAGAGAAAGAGAGGAAAGAGCGAAGAGGGAGAGGGAGGAGAAAGAACGAAGAGAGGAGAAAGAGCGAAGTGAAAGGGAGGAGCGGGAACGGAGGGAGAGAGAGGAAAGGGCGAAAAGGGAGCGGGAGGAGAAAGAGCGAAGGGAGAGGGAGGAGGCTGAGGAGCGGGCGCGGAGGGAGCGGGAAGAGCGCGAACGACGCGAAAAAGAGCGAAGGGAAAGCGAGGAGCAGGAGAAGCGAAGGCGACAACAGCTGCAGCAGGACGAAGACGCGAGGCGACACCTGGAGCGCATGCGCCAGCTGCGCGCGTTCGAAAGCGAAGTGGTGGACGTGTCCTCGCTCGACACCGACCTCGAGACCGACACCGACACCGACATGGACAGCGACTCGTCCTCTTCCTCCTCCGATTCCGACGACGACGACGATGAGACCGAGGCCGGGTCCGACTTCGAGAGCGACCAAACCATCAATGGTGGCTCGACACGGCATCACCATCACCACGACGGTGGCAAGCATGCACGGAATGCGGCCAGCGCCGGCGCGCTGCATTCCAACGGCGGCGGCCAGTTGGCGGGCCGCAGCAAGGCCGGCGTGCAGGTGGTATTCGAAGAGTGGAGGGAGCAGCAGGCGTCCGAAGAGGAATTGGCGCGAAAACGGCGAGCCGAGGAGGAGGAGAGGGAGCGGGAGAAGCGCGAGCGCGAGGAACGCGAGCGGGAGGAGGTCGAGCGCGCGCAGCGCGAGTTCGACGAGGCCCGCAAGAAGCGGGCGCTGAGCGAGTCCCGCCGGCCCGTGTCGCGGCGTACGAGCGACCCTACACGCTGGCAGCACGGCAAGATCGTGACCGCCCAGTGCGCCATCCGCCGATGGCTCGCCCGCAAGCAGCTCCAGCGTCTCCGTGCGTGGTCCCTCTCAATTGCGAGGAATGTGGGTTATATGAGGAATGTCGAGACTGGAATGTGGCTTGACCCCCTCCCTTTGGCTGTTGTGGTCGTTCGCAGGTCTGCAGAGCGTGAAGCGGAGGCAGGTGGTCAACGAGATGCTCACCACCGAGCAGTCCTACGTCGACGTCCTCCTCCTTCTCGAGCAGGTAACTGGGCACATTCTGTAGACCAACCAAGGATGCACGACTGACGCGTCTTGTCGTGTCGTTGGTCGTTGGTCGTGTCGTGTCGCTGGTCGTGTCTCTGGTCGTGTCGTGTGGCGAGTAGTTCCGGGACGGGCTGTTGGTGGCGAAGGACGGCGACAAGGACCTCATCCCGCACGAGGAGGTGCAGGTGATCTTCAACGACGTCGACGTGCTGGTGACCACCAACACGGCCCTCCTCAAGCAGCTCGAGCCCCTCCTCGCCACCTGGCACCCCTACACCTCCCTCGTCGGCGCCGTCTTCCTCAACATGGTATGCACCCCGCCACCATCGCCTCATGTGTCTACACATTCCTCTCATGCCAACGTTTATATGCGCATGTCGTGTGGGTCGTGTCGTGCGTTATCAGAGTGATTCGCTGCGATCGTACACGGGCTACGTGAACGGCTACGACAAGGCTCTGCGCACGCTGCGCGAGCTGACCAACCAGAGCAACGCCTTCAGGCTCCACATTCAGGTGAACCCGCGTTGCCAGTCAGCACCGCCACTACCAGTCATATGCATGGCGAGGCGCAGAGGCTCACTCACACTCTTGTAATCGTTGTGCGTGCCTGCGTGCGTGCAGCGTGTGGAAAAGGAAAAGTCGACGCGCGACAAGATTGTCGACCTGCCATCTCTCCTCATCGTACGCCTGCCCCCAACACACACACACACGTGTCGTCCGCGGCCATTGACGTGTGTCGTGTGTCGTCGTGTCGTGTGCCCAACAACAGAGCCCGGTGCAGCGAATTCCGCGCTACGAGCTGCTGTTGCGGGATCTCCTCAAGATCACCCCGCCCGACCACCCCGACCACGACAACATCCAGGCTGCCCTCGACAAGGTCAAGGTGATTGCGAGCTACATCAACGAGAGCAAGCGGGTGGCGGACCGGGCCGAGCGCATGCACGAGCTCACCACCAACGTCTACGACCGCTCGCGTCGCACGCCCTTCTCCGGCAAGACCACCGTCGTACGCCCACCCCACCCCCTTTCCCCACTGGTTCGATTTACGCCAACACGCACGACACGCACGACACACACTACACACACAGAAAAACTTGATCCAGCCGGGGCGAGAGCTGATCAAGGAGGGAACGCTGGCGCGAGTCAAGTCGAAGCGGAACGAGAAGGACTTCTACCTGTTCCTCTTCAACGACATCCTGCTCGTGACGACGGCCAAGGAGAAAAAGAAGAAGCGGGGCAACACCAGCATGAACCGGTCCTTCAAGCACAGCCAGGAGGTGAGCCTCGACGGCGTCTCCATCATGACCCTCACCGACGAGCGCGCCGACGTCTACACCATCATCATGCGGTACTTGCCACCACTCACCACAGCCACCTTAAAATCATGTCACTACCACGTCCGCCACCACCTTAACCGCCGTTAAATGCCAGGCTGCCCACGGGCAAGAAGATGCTGTGGCGAGCGCGGTCGCGTATGGAGCGGGACTCGTGGGTGCAGGAGATGCAGAAGCTCATCCGCGAGCGCCAGGAGTCGCAGCAGCAGCGCCTCCTGGCCGTGCCGGGCCTGGCCGGCAGCAGCGGCGCCGTTTCGCCCCGCGGTGTCGGTGGTGCGCCGTCGCCCCGAGCCCCAGCCCCGTCGCCCCGAGGGACCATGGGCAGCGCGAGCAACAGTGGCTCGTTCAGCACCACGGCGCTCTCGCCCCGGGGCGGCCAACCGGCGTCGCCCCTGCCGTCGGGCGCTCTGGGCTCGTCGCCATCGGCTTCGTCGTCTTCCCCTGTCATCGGCCTGGGCTCGTCGCCGTCGGCGTCGTTGGGCTCGGGCGCCTCGTCGGCCGAAGATAGAGAGCAGCGGGAGAACAGCGGCGGGTTCAAGAGCATCCCGCTCAACCCGTTCGCCTGGAACCGACGGGCGTGAGTGTCTCATCGCCATGGCCTCGCCCCTCTCCACCACCCTGTAATGAATGAAAGTAAACTATTTATTGTGTTGCTACGCTCTTCTCCTACCCTTTTCCTCCTTGTTGTCAATCTCTCTTCATCTTTGATTTGAAAAAATACATCTGCAACCCAAACCTCGTAAACATGTGGGCACCAAATTTGGATGAGGCGGGGAGGAGGGACGCGGCAACTCAGCTCGATTTCTCGCAACTCCCCAATGAGGTGCTCAATCAAATCTACATCTTTCATCGAAGATCAGCTCCAAAATCCATCTCTCATTGGAGCAGGTGGCAGAGCACGTGCTGAGCTACTTGGGCGTGGCCGACCTCTACGAGGGCGCGCTCGTGTGCCGCCAGTGGTGGGCCATTATCGCAGCCCTCCCCGCCTGGACTGGTGCCCCAATGACATATTCGCCTTTCGCACGGCGCCGTTCGACTGATGGTGGGCGACAGAAGCCGCGCAGCAGTCTCTGGGCGGCAGGAGGGTGCCGAGGCGCCTGGCCACCACTCAACAAATGTGCGCTATGATCTACTCAACAATGACGCAATGTTGTTGTGGTTGGACCAACATTGTCGGTCGCACACTCACCACTACACACACCGCACACACACGCGCGCTCATAGATACAAGATCGTGATGGTGGGTCCGGGCGGCGGTGGACGCAATGCGTTCGTGCAGTACTTCGCCTCTGGCCACTTTTTGACCGCTGTACCTCGCCCCGGCATGGTCGATTGATGCGCACAGCCTGCTGCGTTGATTGACCGGCCGACCCCTCATTTCTTGGTCGTTGTTGTTGCTTGCTTGCTTGCTTGTTTGCTTGACTGCTGCGCCCTGGCTTCTTCTCTCAAGTATGATCCCGTGGTTGAAGAGAGGTCAGCGCACAATCCACCACCACACCACAGCGCACACGCACACTCACGACCGCACACTCACGACCGCACACGCACGCATGCACACATGTTCGAGCGGACTTAATTATGTCTGACCTGCTCAGACTTTCATTCTTTTCATTCAGTTACATGAAGGAGATCGAAGTCGACGGGGTGATGGCGACGCTCGAGATAACGGTCACCGCCGGCCAGGAGGAGTTCCAGGCGCTGCTGGAACCAGTCCTCCGCGGGTGTGACGTACGTCCGTTGAGCTCCTCCTGGTGACGTCGTCGCGTGGCGCGTGGCCCTAACACGACACATGCGACACGACACACGCGATACGACACACACGACACGACACGACAATGCAGGGAGTGCTGGCGCTGTATTCGGTCACGAATGAAGGCCATCTCGGCCAAGTGGAGGACTCGCTCAGGCTCGTGCGGCAGACCAAGGAGACCGACGACCGCGACGCGCCGCCGATCATCCTTCTGGGCAACAAGCTCGACCTCTCAACCGAGCGCGCCATCGTGCCGGCCCAGGGCAAGCAGCTGGCCGACCAGTTCGCCGTCTATTCGCGGTCAATCGCGAGCGACAACAAGACGGCGAAGCAGAAGAACAAGAACAAGAACAAGAAGACGACGACGATCAAGAACGACGACGGCCAGTGCTTCAGATTCGTGCGAAACTTCTTCGAGTGCTCGGTCAAGGAGAACTACGTGATCGACTACCACCCGCGCTTCTTCGCCACGGCCCACGATGCCACGAGGTGGTCGTCGGGCCACGGAGTGCAGCCGCCGGCCGAGGCGAAGGGCCTGTGGACGGTGCATCGGGACCAGATGACGGTCGTGTTCGAGGAGATGGTGCGCCAGATCGACGCGTGGCGCCACGCCAAGCAGCTCCGCCCAAGCAGCAGCGAAGGAGACGCCAAGGACAAGAAGTGCCTCGTCAGCTGACCATATCCTTATAAAATTCTAATAATTAATACAAGAATAACAAAAAAAAATGTAGTGATGTGGTGTAGCGTAGTTCCGTTGTTGCTTTCTTAATTCAGTTCGGTGTCCCAATTACTTGAGCTTGATGAACTTGTGTCGTGTGGGGCCGTTGAGCTTCTCGCGTCGGTCCATGTACTCGCCGTAGCTGCCCTCGAAGTAGACCACGCGGCCGTCGCCCTCGAAGGCGATGATGTCCGTGCACACGCGGTCCAGGAACCACCGGTCGTGGGTCACCACCACCGCGCAGCCGGCGAAGGCCTCGATCGCCTCCTCGAGGTTGCGCAGCACGTGCACGTCGAGATCGTTGGTGGGCTCGTCCATGAGCAGCAGGTTGCAGCCCCGCTTGAGCAGCTTGGCCAGGTGCACCCTGTTGCGCTCGCCGCCGCTCAGCACGTCAACCGTCTTCTCCTGCTGCTGATTCCAGAACCGGAACTGATGATGATGAAGAACGAAGAACGAAGACAAAGAACGAAAAACGAAGACGGTGGTGAGTGACGATTACGAAGAAGATGACGACTGTTGGGAGGGGAGGGGAGGGGGGATTAAGTACGGCGGCGACATATTGGCGGGTGTGGATGGTGTTATTGGGGGAGATCTCGATGTAGTCGTCGCCTTCGGAGATCTCTTCATAGATGGTGTTGCCCTCGGTCAGGTCCTGTCGGTGCTGCGTCACATAGCCCGGCACCACCTAGCGGCCAACACGCAGCAGCGATGAGTCGTGTCGTCGTGTTCGGTGTCGTGTGAGTACCATGCGTGCGTGTGCGTTTTGTGGTGCGTGTCATGCGTGCGTAAGCACCAGCAGCACACACGGCGTCACAACTGATGCGTGGGGGGGGGGGCATGTTACCGATTCACCGATCTTCAGGTCGCCCTCGAAGTCCTTATCCTCACCCGAGAGAATGTTGAGCAGGGTTGTCTTGCCCGCACCATTCGGCCCAATCACACCTGCGCGCATACGCCCAGGCTTGTTAAGCACCACACAGAAAAGAATAGCAAATGACAACGAAGCACGAAGCACGAAGCACGAAGCACGAAGCACGAAGCACGAAGCACGAAGCACGAAGCACGAAGAACAAGAATAGCCAAACTACAACGAAAAGGCGGTGTGCCGTACCGACGATGGCGCCGGGCTTGAGGGAGAAGCTGAAGTCATCGATCAGCACTCGGTCCTCTATCTGCTTCCGCAGACGCTCCGCCTCAGCCACAACTCGCCCTGCGGTTCCGTGTGAGCAACATGACACGACACACGCGCCACCGCACACGCACACACCGCACACGCGCGACGACAACACACGTGTTACCCAGGCGTGGTCCGGGCGGGATGAGGATGGTGCCGGGCTGGAAGGGCTTGACGCGGGCCTGCTCGAGCAGCTGCTCGTAGGCCTTCACGCGCGCCTTGTTCTTCGACTGGCGGGCCTTGGGCGTCTGCTGGATCCACTTGAGCTCCTGGTCGATCTGCTTCGAGAGCGCCACGTCCTTCTTCTGCTCGAGATCGATTCGCTTCTGGTGCTCCGTGAGCCACGTCGAGTAGTTGCCCTCGTACACGAAGCAGTCGCCTGCAACACAATACGGTCCACGTCAGCACATGTGTCGTGCGGTGTGCGCGTGTGTCGTGTCGTGTCGTGTCGTGTGTGCGGTGTTTTTTGTACCTCGGTCGATTTCGAGGATCCAGCCGGCCACATTGTCTAGGAAGTAGCGGTCGTGTGTAACGGCCTAGCAGCGGGTCAGAACCGAACTGTACGGAATGCGAAGAACGCAAGCCGGCCCCCCCCGGACGAGGTTTGTTCGTACCATGACGGTGCCCTTGTACTCGGAGAGGAAGCGCTCGAGCCACGCCACCGACTCGGCGTCCAAGTGGTTGGTGGGCTCGTCGAGCAGCAGCAGATCGGGCTCGGAGATCAGAAGCCTGCACAGCGCCACCCTGCGACGCTCGCCCTGCACCACCATTGCCA